ACAAGCAGTTAAAAATGTAGGAGAGATGCATTGTTTTTTTTTTTTAATCATATTTTTGTGCCAGGCAGCATTTTCGGACATTGAAGTCATTGCTGTCTTTCCTGCCTTTTTTGTCTGAGGTGCGTGTGTGCAAAGTCTCCCAAACTTAACACCTTGTGTTGGTAATGCAGGGCAGACACTCAGATTTAAACTGCTGAGTGAACAGTCGACTATGAAAATTAATCCCGAAACCTTCCTGGTGCATTGCGACCAAGCTAACCACTGCACCAATTCCCTGGAGATGCGATGATTTTTGTATTTTCAAGCTGCAATATTGAAAGTGTATTTTACTATCGCTTTCTTATCAGGTGCCTCATCATAGTAGGATGAATTAGCTAAAATAAAAGACCTTATTCCACATCTGTCTGCAACACAATATAAGTCAGCAATCTATAAATAAATCTAAGGATATGCTCAAGATGCTACATATGGTTTCTTGTTAGGAAATTTGTTCTCTTTACATCAAATGCAGCATTTGCAGAAAACAAATATCATTGCTATGGTTACCATACTGCGTAATATTCTATTATTCTCATAATAATCTCCTACAAGTAGTATGTGAATTTGTTTTGTATACGTAACCAGCAATGTTGGTTGGCTGATAATATGTTATGTTGCTTTCAGGAAGACAGTAGATTGTGACAACATTGATTGAAGCATTGTATTGTCAGCCAATTAGCAAACGATATTACTGGTTAGATGTTTTAAACAATTTTGCGGCCACAGTAAGAAAAAAAAAATGTTTTGGCCAAACCCTGCATGCATCAGGTCATTATAGAAGGGTTTAAAGTTCATCTTAGTGTATAGGTGTTATTGTTCCACAGTCCACTGTTTTGTAACCAAAATTATCATGTCACCTTTGAAGATTCGTTGAGTTCAATAAGTTTTTAACCATGTCATGAAGGTGAATGAAGCTAAAAACCAATACTGTATATTCCATGTATTAAATTTGCATTACTAGAAACATATTTGTATTAAAGCTAAATTTCTAATAGAGTAAGTACTGTAGTTTATACTGTAAACTGCTTCTATTTCGAAAGTAAAAATCAGCGAAAATTAAAGGGTTTACAGTATATTCATTCTAAGTAAATATTCTAATAATTCTAATAAAAACTAAGTTTCTGTGATTGAACAATTCTAAATGTCTTCATGCACTCGTTTTTTTTTTTTTGTATTGGTAACTTTAATGAGGGTGGGCAAGGGGGGTAGCTGGTACAGTTTTACGGGAAATAAAAAGGGCTTTTTACATTTTACAGTGAAAATTTTATTTTGCAGTGAATTGTGTCATCTAGTCATTTTACAGTTTCGAAGATGTAAATTCTTGTTTGTCCCGAGAAAAATGACACATTTTTACAGTGTACGAAAAAAATATTTGATTGATTTAGTTGTACGTCTAGCCTGTGATTACGGAATTACGTAATTTATTTTTTCAATTTACGTTGTACGAACAAAAAAACATTGCAATTACGTTGAACGAAAATAACCCTTGACCCCCCTCTTTAATGGCTGGCAATTCGCTTTTATCATGTCAATGTTGACATTTTAAACTTCGCTTTTACAATGATACAATAAATGTATCAACAGAGACCAGTAAACATGTGCTTACTTATATTACAGAAATGTTTCAATGAGCAAAATAGATTATATTTAAAGGGGAACCGATACTATAAATAGGGGCAAGATGGCCACCGCAATTAGTATGTTAATCCGAACCAAGCTGCTCACATCGTGGCAGGAGCTCCGGGAAATGTGCCATTTATGATGCTAGAGAATCAAGCTGTGATTCCAAATACATTTCTACGGGGGCATGAATATGTACGCTCGTGATTACACTCATCTGGTTGGGCTTTTAATGTATAAATGTTGTTGTTTTTCGGTCGAAACGTGACACGACAAGTAAAAATGAGTTTAAAATGGCGGCTAATATATGCAAAATGCCTGTCAATCACAGTTTGAGTAAGCGAGCATAATAAGCATTCATTTACTTAGTTGACAGAGGTGGAGTTAATTACCCATGAGCACGTGGTGCAATCCATGGGATTGAGCGGTTCCCCTTTAATGATTCACTATACAGCATGATTCAATTTATATGTGCTTCTATTAAAGATATGCTTCTAATAGAGCAAATATGGTACAAGTTATTCAGTGTGTACAATGACCTATAAACATCTTTTATTATCTCGAGGTGAAAGTCAGTCATGAAAAGGAAACACAGAATAAATAAAATTCTCATTTTGACTTTAAAATTGACTCCACCCTACCCTATAATAGTTAAAAAAAAATAGATTTGTAAAAAGTAAAGTGAAAACGTTGAGTTTGTTTTGAGGACAATTGGACCTGTCAAACCGTCAAATAGAGGACTGGTTCAATTGGAAGGGACAATAACACACTCGTTCACTATATGGGAATAACATGATTGTCAAAAGGGGTTGGGGTGGCACAATTCTCACTAGTATCACATCATTATTAATATATGCATTATGTATTTGTAGGTGTTTGAACCTTTTGAACGCCATTGCCAACTTTTGGTCCCATATACAAAATGATTTTTTACAGTCTGCTTTTTCAAATTTTAAATATTGATAAAAACTGACAAACCTTTTTGATCAAAATCTAAAAAAACATTATCTTATATCTCAAACAGTTTGGATGTTCCAAAATGATGATGAAATTTAGTGACAATTTTACAAAATATTAAAATATTTTCACAGGTTTTCATTGTGAAAATTATCTGGCACTCAAAAAATTAGTTTTAATCAAGAGTTTTAGGCAGTGAATGGTTGTCTTCACTTGATCTAAAATTAACAAAGGAATTGTAGGTAAATTTAGAAAAATGTTGTGCCTACATTAGAAGAAAGGGTTCATTTGTCTCCGTCAACAAAATAGTCCTGTTTCAGATTTTGTTTCATAAAAAAATTTTTGTAGCAATATTATCGTATACTTACACATGGAATGTTGCATCTACGTAACTTGTATACCAATTTATGTTTTTAAATGCTTTATAAATTTAAAATGATGGTTGAAAAAAAACTTGACCAATAGCTTAGCAAATACAAAGCACACATAATAATCTTTTGCAGGCTTGATAGTTAATCGGCCAATAATTGCAGAAAAACTGCAAAGACTCTCGGACTTCTATGGTCAATGAATGCATCTTTAGATTTGAATGAAGTACAAGGGGTCATCTGGGTAAATGTTTTATAAATATTTTATAAATTTCCATAAAAAACATTCATGCTTTAATGAAATTTACTGTAGTGGTTATGTTTTGAATTTATTGTTTTTTTGTTTTTTTCAGGTGATGCTGAGGTTGGCAAAACCAGTATTTTTTTGAGATTCACAAAAAATCAGTTTGACTTCACGTATAGACCAACTAATACTGTTAGTATAGGTGAGTTTATGAATTGGGACACAGTCACTAGTCTTGTGAGTCAAATATTTATGACAGTGAACAATTTTACTGTGACTTTCACAGGAAGTGTCAGCCTCACAGAAACTTTGGCAAGTCATCATATTTTAAGAAATATCTAGAAATGAAAATCTAACTACTGTAAAATACTTTATTTTCGCTTGGAATTGATTTTCCCTATTTTCGCTGACGGAATGATTCAGTGAAAATAAAATCCATTGAATATACCTTTTTTCCTATATTTTACATTCAACTAGTCAGAAATCAGTGAAAATAAATCCCATACAGAAACACCCAATTGGCCAAAACGTCCTTTCAGCGAATATTAATTCCAGCTAAAATAAAGTATTTTACAGTAACTAAATCTAAATCTAAAGCCTCTACAGATAGTCATAGATTGCTGATAACTACTGTAAAATACTTTATTTTCGCTCGGAATTAATTTTCGCTATTTTCGCTGAAGGAATGATTCAGTGACAATAAAATCAAGTGAATATACCTTCTTTCCTATATTTCACATTCAACTCGTAAAAAATCAGTGAAAATAAATTCCATACAAAACACCCAAAAAGTCTTTTCAGCAAAAATGAATTCCAGCTAAAATAAAGTATTTTACAGTATTGTTTAAAGAAGCACTAGCAGGCAATGTATTTATTCTTTCAATGCCAAAATATTTCATCACATTTTTTCATATTTTTTATCCAAAATTAAAAAAAAAACTTATACAAATTGGCAAAATGTTTAAAAACTATGGCATAATGTGTAAACTTCACATGGTTGTCGTTGTCATTGACAATACTCGGAAATGTACACAGCCAAGGCGATTTCCTAGTTGATGCTGACCCACTACTTAATTATACTTTTATAATGCTATGTACTGTCAAACAATATATTTTCACTGGCATTTAATTTCACTATTTTGATGTTCTGAGCATTTTCTCTGGGTGTTTAAAGCGGAAGGGTTGTCATCTGCGCACATGGGGGAATTGAGTCCCAAGCGATGATAACAACACATGCTATAAACAGAAAGGCTCATGGGTAGACGCTTGTTTGTAAACAATGACACGCTATGGCCATCTGACGCATGCACAGATGATGACTCCCCCGCTTAAGTCTGA